AAATTCTAAAATTACTTTCTGGCTTCTGGATAGTGCTTCTCTGTATACTGTTTATATAGAGGCTAAATCAAATGGGGCCACTAGATTTGTTAGGGTTTCAAATAAATGAATGTACTGATGCTTAGAGAGGTTAAGTATATCACTTGAATTCACTCAGTTGGGAAATCATGAAGCTGTTAGGAACCTATGGCTATCTGATTCCAAAGTCCATGCTTCTCATGGAACAATACAAACTAAATATTACCACAATAGATTAGAAAACTGCTTTGCCTCGACTCCCCAGAAAGAGAGGTAACAAAGGGAGAATTTCTACTTTGAACCTAAAATTTGACTCAGGCTGAGAAATTAGTTGGTAAAATGGGAAAGTTGTAGAAATGACAGGAAAAGGCAACCATGTTATCCTGGAGATTGGGCAGTCAGACTTATATCACAGACTTTAACTCAAATCATTAAGATCATGCATTTGAAAAGCTAACAGAAATATGCTTTTCCCTAAAATAGGAAACAGAGCACACAAAGGTCTTTTGAGAAATAGAGAGATTCAGAAAGGCCTCATTGCAGAAGCACCATTTGAGCTGAGTCTTTCAGGATGGGGTAGGGTTTGAGCATATGGTAAGAGGAGAAGGGACAATATGAATAAAAGTTCAAAGGTGGGGCAATTTAACGTTAGTATAGTAATTTGGTTAGACTCTCTGGTGCACAAAGGGAATGCTCAGAGATGGACTGGAGTCTGAATACTTGGCTAAGGAATATGGACTTTAAAGTATAATCAATGGTAGGCCACAAACTACCTTTAAGCTGGAGAGTGGCAGGGTCAATGGTATGTTGCAAAAAGATTAATCTGGTGGCAGTGTGAACTGAACAAGAAGTGAACTGGCAAGGGGAACACTAAATGGATTGAGACAGGAGATTATTATACTATTAAGGGAAAGAGGTAAACAGTCTCCAAACTAGGATAGTGATCATAAAAATGGAGAGAAGAAAATACATGCAGAGATGCTATGGGGATAAAACAGAGAAGTCGTTTGCACCATTGAAAAACAAGTGATAGGAGAGTACTTCAAGAAGATTAACCTGGTGTAAAAAACAGGGCAAATTAGAAGAGGGAGAGATTGGAGGTAGGGAAGCTAGTTAGGAGTTTACTGAAGAAGTCCTGGTGAGAACAAGTAGTGGGAACACCAAGGAAAGGATATTTGCAACCTACCTGATGAGAAGAACATTGATTTGACTTAGTGATGAAGTGGGTGTAAAGGGTGAGAAAGCTGGAAGGGACTGAGGTTTCAAGCCTGGGTGAGCAGACAGTGGCGGGACTGCTATTAACAGAAAGACAGAAGTTAAATGAGAAGCTAGCTTGAGGGGAAATGTTGCAGTAAGAAACAGAAGGCAAGACTTGAGTGGGGAGCTGAGGACATCAGATTTTAAAAGAACATATGAAAAAGGTGTAAGAAAGACTAGAAAACCAAGGAGTCGGAGAAGTGCTGAGAGCTCAAAAATACAGGGTCAAAGAGGCTCAAGCTCTAAGAAAGTTCTTGTCACATAGTAGGTCCTGGAAAAAGATGTGTTGATGAAGGAACCAGAAGAGTCCTGTGGAGAATTCTCCCTTCTATAACACACTGCCTTTCAGGATTTTTGCTGTTTGGAGATGTCATGTGAAAAGCAAGAAGGAAGAGTTATCCAAACACTGTTTTGCTTCTGTCTTTTCCAGAAAAGGAGAGTGTTCTTTAATCTGATGGGGTGGAACAAACACAGAGTAGAAAGAACAGTGACATAAGATGGGTGAGGGGCTAGTACAAGTAACTGGTCACTTTAAGTGTATTCAAGTCCAGCGAAGTTAAGAAGCATGGGGTACTGGGAGAGGAGAGAGTCAGCTTCCGTGTTGTGTGCTGTGTTTATCTGGCTACATCCAGAGTAGGAAATTTAGCAAGGAAGTTAAAAGCATGGGCTTTCTAGTCAATGAACTAGTTTCAAATTCTGACTTGGCCACTTTGGTAGCTATGTGAGTTTCGGTAAGTCACTTGATCACTTTAGACTTCAGTCTTTTACATGGGTAAAAATAGGGACAACAATCCCTACCTCAGAGAATTATTGTGAGGATTAAGTGAGTTAAAGTATGCAAAGCACTAGGTTAAGTGACTCGCACTTAGTAAGTGCCCTAAGATGTGGGTATCTATTAATGATGGGTCAACAGATACCTGTGCATTTCCATGATAGAGGAGTGATAAAAAGAGGTCTCTTTGGCCCCTAGAATGGTACCTGGTATGTAGTGCTCAAGAAATATTTGTTGAATAAATAAATAAATATTAGATGCCCAAATACTGAATTCAGAGGCAGGAAGAGTCTGATTTACATAGGTAAGCCAGGATGGGATAAAATACTCTTTCCCATCCTTATTTTTAATGGCTACATAATATTTCATTGTTTGGCTGAATTGTTGTTCCCATAACCTTTCCCTTGTTTTGATTTAACCTTTCGTCTTTTTAGGACATCTAGGTTGTTTCCAATTCTTTACCATTGTAAATAACACTGAGATAAGCATGCTGGTATATATATCTTTGTTCCCTTTTCTGATTGTTCTCCTGTGCTACATATACACCCAGTAATAGAATTAGAGTTTTGAAGTAGCTCTCATTTTCCAGAAAATTTACACTCCTAGCAGTGTATTAAAATGTAAATGTCTGGGGGCGCCTGGGTGGCTCAGTTGGTTAAGCGGCTGACTTCAGCTCAGGTCATGATCTCACAGTCTGTGAGTTCGATCCGCTCACCGGGCCCTGTGCTGACAGCTCAGAGCCTGAAGCCTGTTTCAGATTTTGCGTCTCCCTCTCTCTGCCCCTTCTTCGCTCGCACCCTGTCTCTTTCTCTCTCAAAAATAAATAATGTTAAAAAAATGCAAATATCTGTTTGAAAGATCACACACTGTAAGAATGTAGGGAAGCCACTTGAGGGAAATTCTTCCTGAGTGATGTAGCATCACTGAGATCCTGAGGAATGGGGTGGAGTAAAATAGTCAACTGAGCTGTTGGGCTCTGATAGTGAGGACATATCTGTTGTCTCTGCTCTGCAAATACAGGGGATGGGTGTTCTTCAGATAGGAAACAGGAACTCTGTGGGCGGATCTAAAAGGGAGTGTGGGCTTTGAAACAGGAAAAAAGAAGCCTGCTTCTGATAGTGAAAGAGACACATTGCTGTGCTAGCCTGATCACCCAAATGCTACTAGGTCAAAGTGTTGCTCTATTTCCACTCATAGCTAGGCTCGTCCTCGATTATATTTGCAGTTGTTTTATTTTGCTTTCTAAGTGTTTCATGTGTGTGTTCTTTTATTTTTTTCCATTTCAGTGATCGGGTATCCACTTATTTATTCAAGTCAGAAACCAAGCAGTTATGTGATACCTTCCTCTTCCTCACTCCCTACATCCAAACCTTCCCCAAGTTCTGACTCTCTTCCTAAAATATTTCCTTCATTGGTTTACTTTTCCCATCTTGACTTCCAACATTCTAGTCTAAGCCTAGACTACAGCAATGCCCTCTCACCTCATTTTCTTGTGCCCATTCTTCCTTCTACCAGTTCATTTCCAATGCTTGGTAAGTAATCTTTTCAAAGCTCAAGTCATTTCTCATGATTTCTTACTGTACTGGACTTACTGTATAAGTCCAAGGTCCTTATAATTTGGCCTACAAAGCTTTGCATGATTTGGCCCCGCTCACTTCTCCCAACCCCACCTTTTTGCTCTCTCTCCCTTGCTTTCTTTGTTTCAGTCACAGTGGCCTTTCCATTCTTGATTCTTCCCTCAGCTCTTTTCAGCCTTGGGGTCTTTGCACATGCCTTTCCCAGGCATGTTCTTCTTGCTGCCCTTCACCTCTCTGATTCCCACCCCATCAACCAGCAGGTCTCAGTTTAAATGTCACTTTCACAGAGAGCCTTTCTTGCAGCAGCCTCTTCTTTTCCTTCATAAACTGCTCACAATTAACTATATATATACATACAGTAAAACCTTGGTTTGCGAGCATAACTCATTCTGGAAACAAGCTTTTAATCTAAAGCACTTGTATATCAAAGTGAACTTCAAGAACCATTGTCGCAGTTGTGATCATGTGACAGTCAGCATCACATACTGCTCCTATTGCAAAACATCACTTGTTTATCAAGTTAAAATTTATTAGAAATGTTTGCTCATCTTACAGAATACTCATAGAACAAGTTACTCAAAATCCAAGATTTTACTGTAATTACGTTTTTATATTTATGTAACTTATCATATAAAATTCTAACTTCTAAATTGTTTTTTATGTATTTATTTATTTATTTTGAGAGAGAAAGAGCACAAACAGGGAAGGGGGAGAGGGAGAGAGAGAATCCCAAGCAGGCTCTGTGTGTCAGAGCAGGTCCTCATGTGGGGCTTGATTGCACAAAGCATGGGATCATGACATGAGCAGAAATCAAGAATTGGATGCTTATTTGACTGAGCCACCCAGCTGCCCCTAACTTCTAAATTATATATATATATAAATTATGTATATATATATATAAATTATGTATATATATATACATATATATATAATTCTATATCTTTTATTAGAGAGTAAGTTTCTTGAGGACATGGATAATGCCTATCATGTTACAATTGAATATCTAGAGTTTAGCAAAATCTCTGGCACAGTCTAGGTGTTCTTCATTTAAATAAACCAAATTGTCCAGACTGGTGTTAGGAAGAGAATAGTGTTAAAATATAGGTACTTATATGGAAAATGCCCTGTTTCCATTTAAATGTACAAAATTAGGGATTTTTGGGTTTAGTGTCCCATAATTGAGTTCAGAAAGTATTCTCTATAGCATGAAACAAAAAAGGCAAGTTATATTTAATCCACATTTCAGAGTATTTCCAGTTTTTTCCTGTCCTCTTGAGAATTGGGACAGGTTTGGGATCAGGGCAGGATTACGTTAGCTACTTTTCTATGGTTCATGCTTTAACTCTTCTTCCTCACCTGGGGACATGGATACTCACCAGCAGGCTGTGACACAAAGCATGGAAACGCTGCTGATTTGTCTCCAGCTCATCCCAGTCCAGCTGCCAACAGCTTGTGGGTCTGAGGATGAAGGGCAGTCCATAGGTCAATGACTCACAGATCCCACTGGAATTTAGAGCCCTGGCAAGAAACAATGGCAGTAAAAGTCTCCTCAGTGATATCTAGAGCCTTGACCCCAGATCAGCTAAAATTCAGCTTCTATCTAAGACTCTTTTGTGAAATCCTTTGGGCTAATGCCTGCAAATTATTCACCTTAGCATGGCCAGCACCTAGCAAGGTATCTGGCACACAGTAGATTCTCAAAGCCTGTTAATCAATGGGTGAAGCAGCCATCATGAGGACTGTAGGCTTTGATGGATATTACTTCTCCTGAGCTCATTCCATTCCAAGTGACTTCTCTGGGGGTACTCCCAGCTAACCATCTGCATCCCAGTTCTGGCTTTCTTGTGGCAAGGTGCTGACAGAGGATGCATTCAAGAAGAGAATAAATTTAAGAAAGTTCCCCAGCAGTATCCATGGTCACAAACCCATGGATAAGCTTACTCAGATACTTGTGCACAGGCATTGTGATAGGAACCAGGAAGCAGAAAAGTGGTCTTTGCCAACACTGCTAATTCTGCCTGAGAATTGGTTCCCCTAGAAGCAGGAATTCTAGTATTAAAAGAAGTGGCAAGGCAGGGGTTGATCCTATCTACCCTTTGTTCCTTGGAGGTCAGATCTCTGTCCTGATGCCTTAACACAGTAAAGTATTCAACAACTGGGTAACTGGGTAAACACTGCTGATCTTGTTTTTCACCACATTCAGAGACTTTCTGGATTTCCAATCCTCATCCAGGCTTTAGAATGTCCTACTGAGGCACATCTTCCACCATCTGCCCATTTGTCTCCACATGCTGAGCAGTCTTGCTCTTTCAACTCTCATACCTGTACTTGCTGCTTTGGAACTCACTCCCACCTGCGGGACACCTGGAGATGCCCTCTATCTCTGGACTGCCTAGTTGGAACCAGTGAGAATAAGCATTTGCATGGATTGGGGAAGTTCCCTTGTCCCATACTTGATCACCCGGAGCTTGTAACGAGAGGCTGATGACTGGGAAGCCATCTGGTAAAGTGTGCAGAAGTCTCCTTTGGGGTCATCCATTTTCAAGGAGCCATCAGCTGTGCCAGGGAGCAGGGATGGGCTGAGAAGTCGCTCTTGGAGATCACATTTCAGGCATACTACAATAAAAATGGCATTGGGGGATGGACTGTCAGAAGCCACCTCAGGCTATGTGATTAAGAGACAACATCTGCTACCCATTCCACATCCACCAGGCAAGCAAGGCTTGGGAGGAGGCAGGGGAGTGGAAAGGGGAAAGTATGACTGGCTTGGAAAGGCAGAGCAAGTCTGGACCTACAATGTTGCTTAATACAATAGTTAACTTATTTTCTGGGTCTGATATGATTTTTGCTTGTTTTACTTCTGGGTTGGCTGAGCAGTTGCCTCATAGCAAGAGATCTGGCTTGTGATCCAGTCTGAGAGGAGCATGTGCCCTCTGCAGATGAGGCAGCTAACACAACAGTATGCAGAGGCCCTCTGCAATCACAGATGGAAATCTTGTCTCTGCTGCTTCCCTGTGGCTAAGCTTTGGCAAGACTACAGGTCAGATGAAGGAAGAGCAGGAAAGCAGAAGTCAGAGTCAGCTGACAGCTACTGTTTCTCTGTGGGCTCTTCTAGGGACATTCAGGGGAGGGGGAGGAATAAGTCCCTGAAATAGTTTATTTTTTAATTCCCCAAAGAAATCCGAGCATAGAACCTTTTGGAGCATCACCGTGGCAACAGACAACCACTCTGAGGGGGCTTCATCTAGGTATAAATTATTCATCAAGGCATTATACTCTTCTGTAGTAAGGTTCTGCTCTGGCAGGTACATTCACATTCCACAGTGTACAATGTTCTGTTGCACTAGGCTTGAATCCTTGATATTAGTTTTTCAATGAAATGTATATCAGGTTTGAATACCGTTAATAAACACGAGGTAAAAATGAAAGTAGAAATAATGTAGAAAAAGAAATAGGATGGCAGAAAAGATGTCAGATTTGGCTGGCCATCCTGGCCCAGCAGTCAGATGTCAACATTAATTCTGGGTAAGACAGTCTTGGCCTGGTGTGTCTCAGAGCCCAGGAAGTCAGCTGGAGGGATGTGGCCTAGGACTCCCATTTCCTCTGTGCCTGACTTCTCCATTGTTGGGTCTCTGGGCTTTAGGACTGGAGAGCTGTGTTCATGTGGCTGAGATTCTCAACTCTGGTTGTAATAAGAATCACTTCTTTATTAAGGAACTTTTTTTTTTTTAAAGATAATGAAGCATAATTATATTAAGGAACTTTTAAAAGATACTGATGTCTGGCCCTACCTCACAGGAGTGAAATTGGGATCTTTGGAGATGGAACCCAGGTACTGGTATTTTTTAAAAAGTCCCTCATGTGATTCTTACTGAGAACTACTGGAACTGCAGTCTCAATAGTGTTCTAAAGCTGGGGAAGCTGTCTTAGCAGGACTAGAGTAGAATCAGGTGTGCTTCTCATCACCCAAAACCAAATGCAGAGGTGGCAGACTCCGAAACCCATGAAACGAGAAAAGACACTTATGTGAAGCTGACTGTGCACTCTGTTGGAAGGCTTCTGAGAGAAGCATCTGGAGATGGGGGTGAGAGGCCTTGGCCAGCTACAGAAGCAGGTGGAGTGGGTGAAAAACTTTGTAAGGAGTCAGAGTGAACATCTGAGGAACAGTCCTCAAAAGACTCTAGAGTAGGAGAGCTCAGAGTTTTGTATTGTTTTGTTTTATATTTATGGTATAATACATTTCCAAAAATCCAGTGTGGTAATGTGTCAGTTTCTTAAATAATGGATAACCCCATTTTGGTCTTTACTGTGGTTGTTTAAACTCTCAGGTGGGTCACACCCACCCTGGAGGGGGCCTGCTTTCCCCAGACTGAATTTCATTCAAATAGTGTCTGGGCGTCTGGATTCCAGGTAGGCCTCCCCAGCAGAAGAGCAGAAGAGTCTGGATCTAAGTTCTGCCATGTACCCTGAAGACCTGCACATTTTCAAAAAATGACTGCAGATGGAGATAAACATTCTGGCTCTGACCCAGGTGCTGAAATCAATGGAAAGAGGGAGGGGAAAATAGAGAAACTCTCAACAATACCAGGGGCAAGTGCTGTGTAACAGTTGAAGAAAGGCTGGTTGCAGGAGTTCCTGGCCTTGGAGGGCCCCAGCGTGCCTAATGAGAGAAATGCCAGCATGAGGCAGCATCTTTGTTCAGAACTGCCCAGCATGAGGCGCGTCGTGTAGTAGGTAAGGGTCCAGGTTCTGCAGGCAGACAGACCTGGGTTTGATGAATGTTCTCTGGGCTGACAGCCTTCCCCAGCTTTGGAACACTGTTGAGACTACAGTTCCAGTAGTTCTCAGTATGAATCACATGAGGGACTTTTTAAAAAAATACCAGTATCTGGGTTCCATCTCCAAAGCTCCCAATTTCACTAGTGTGAGGTAGGGCCCAGACATCAGTATCTTTTAAAAGATGAACACAGCTCTCTAGTTAAAGCCCACAGACCTAACAATGGAGAAGTCAGGCACAGAGGAAGTTTGAGTAGTCAAATGTACAAAATATAGATTTCTAATCTTAGGATTAAGAGTGGGCTGTGGAGTTGCCTAGCTACAAATTCTGGCTCTGCTATTAATTTTTTTGTGCAGTCCTGGGAAAATGTTTAATTTCTCTAAGTATCAGGTTTCTCTTCTGTACAACAGGGAGATAATATTGTATATAATTGATTCTAAAACACATTTCTCCCCCCATATTATATGTGTCTTACAGTTGACATTGGCCAGGTGCACATTCTTAATATTTACTACCCTAACTTCTCAGTAAGGATAAAATAATATATATATATTTTTTAAACATTTATTTATTTTTGAGAGAGAGAGAGAGAGAGAGAGTGTGAGTGGGGGAGCATCAGAGAGAGAGGGAGACAAAGAATCTGAAGCAGGCTCCAGGCTCTGAGCTGTCAGCACAGAGCCCAACTCAGGGCTCGAACCCATGAATTGTGGGATCATGATATGAGCTGAAGTTGGCTGCTTAGCCAACTGAGCCACCCAGGCACCTCTAAAATAAGATTTCTAAGTGAGAAGAAAACATTTATGTCATGTTTAATTGGCAGTGTTTTTCTCTTAGCGGTACATAAAGTAATGATGTATCTCATAATTGATAGCATCTTAATTTCACTGACATGGTAACAGTACCTACTTTGTGGTGGTAGGTGAAGATGAAATGGGATAATGCAGGAGAGGAGGTAATATAGTGTTTGGGGAAAAATATATATGACATGGATTCCAGAAGATGGGACAGGGAGGAATTGGCACTACCAGCTTTGGAACAAAGGAATAGAAAGGAGGTTCAGGGAAGAAGATTTATACACCAAGGAAAGACAGACTGAAATCAAGGTTAAGTCATCAAAGGCATTCCAGGCTCTGGGTTGAAATGGGGGTGAGGAAGGGGTGGTAAGGTAAAGATCTGATGGCTATCCTCAGAAAGAAAGGATCACTGTGTGTCTTCCCCTTTGTGAGTGGGAATCTCTACCCATTTTTTCTCATAGAATTCCTGCCTCTATTAGTTGGGCTACTAGTTGTCCTCTATGGCACCTGCCTCTGTAGTTGCTTTAGTTTACCTCATTTAGGTGTCTTCCTATCCAGCACACCTCTGTTTAATCTTGGTTCTTTATTGGGATGCCTGGGTGACTCAGTTAGTTAAGCATTGGACTCTTGATTTGTGCTCAGGTCATGATGTCATGGATCGTGGGATCAGGCCTGAATCAGGCTTCACGCTGACAGGGTAAGGTCTGTTTGGGATTCTCCATCTCCCTCTCTCTTTGTCCCTCCCCAACTTGCCCATGTCCACTCTCTCAAAATAAATAAGTAAACTTAAAAAAAAAGAAAAACTTGGTTCTTTACCTTCTCTGTTGATACTGTTGAGGTACCAGCATGCCTCAAATTATTATGTTAGTAATATCTACCACAATTCAAAATAAAAAACCTGAGAAAAATATGATTCATTGTGCTTTTATATAGTTTAGGTGCTGTCCTATTATTGAGGTGTCTAAGTTTTTGCTCCTAAACTAACTGGCTTTTGCTGTCTAGGCTTAATTAGTTTCAGTTTTCTAGCTGTGGTCACTTTTTAGAAGCTCATTTCTTACTCTTTGTGCTTACACTGAACAGCCTCTTTCAATCCCTAAACCTCAACTATTCCATATTCTGATGACTCACAAATCTAGTCTTAATCCAAGACTAAGATAATCATAGCCCATATTTCTTTTGGGGATGTGTACTTGAATCATCTCTGGCTCTGGAAATGTTGCTGAAACACCGTGAAGGAAGAATAAGATGGATATGTTCTTGGTCTGTTCCACTGTTATGTAGCCAGGTTTTGAAGAAAATCTCCATGCTGACAACATCATTGTCTATGGTCTGAAGGTCAATGTCAGTTCCCAGGATAGAACTCTCTGCAGAAGAAAGGGGATCAGAAGGTAAAGTGTTTAATTGTTTAATTATAAAGCTTGAAAAATGCAAAAATTTAAATGTATCCATCTTTTAACCCGCCGATTCTACATCTGGATATCTAGCTTAGAGCCATTCTTAGATAGTACACACAGACACATGCGCAAAGATGTTTAAGTACAGCATTGTTGTAATAGCAAATAATCAAAACCTCAAACAGGAAGCAATTCAAATACCCATCAATGGGGGAGTAACTTATGGCACACTCAACCTTTGGAGTATTATGCAGCCGTTAACAAGCAAAATAAAGTTAAATGTACTGACATAGAAAGCTAAGAGACAGTAGTGAATAAAGAAAGTTGTAGAACATATTTGTAGTATGAATCCATTTACATAAAAATAAAATCATTGGCCTAAGTACATACATATGAATGTAAATGCCTTTTACAAAGGTCTGGAAGGCTACCATCAAACCACTGTTAGTGGTGGACAGGAGTGGAAACAGGGCAGAGTTCCTTTTTATCATTCACACTTCTATACTGTTTGAATTTTATTGTATTCAGAAAACATCCTGGAATACAAAACAGCCAAAAAAAATTCATACAGCAATGCAAGTTAAATACTCAGTTAACAAAAGGGACCTCAGGGGGCACCTGGGTGGCTCAGCCAGTTAAGTATCCAACTTCAGCTCAGGTCACGATCTCACAGTCTGTGAGTTCTGACAGGCTCTGAGCCTGGATCCTGCTTTGGATTCTGTGTCCCAACCCCCACCTCTGTCCCTCCTCCACTGTGTTCTGTCTCTCTCTCTCAAAATAAACATTAAAATAAACATTAAATAAATAAACATTAAAAAATTTAAAAAAAACAAGGGGGACTTCAGTTTCTTCAGCTCTCATTTCACAGTAAAAATGTATTCATTGATTGCTTCTGCTATAAAAAACAAATTTTTAAAAAAAGTGAAAGAAAGCACTGGGTGTTATATGGAAACCAACTTGACAATAAACTATTTAAAAAAAGTAAAATAAAAAGAAAATGATGCACTCCCAGGCTTCCCCCCTGACACACATTGTACAAGCCTGTCATTGGCATGCTGTAACTCACAAGTATGACTTGCAGCCAGGAAGACAGGAATGGTCTGGTAGGTATGATTTGATTTCAAATCTGAGTGAATGGATCTGGGGATGTGGGGTGACAAGGCTTTGCCGGTCTACTTCCTGATTCAGGCAACACTAGCTCAGGAACTGGGGTCTGGGTCTTCAGGTAAAGGTTGTCAGTAAAAGCCAAATATAAGGTGATAGAGGAAGCACAGAGAGGAAATGAGGCAAGAGCTGGAAAGAAACTGAAGAGGAACCTGATTTTTTTCACCCCACCATGAGGGACTCTCTGAAACTTTTACAAAGAGCCTAAGAAAATTGATGAATTAACTTCTGTGTATGACTCATAGACCCCAGGGAGAAGGCTGGTTTATTTCTAGAACAACATTCCTGAGGACAAGGCAGCAGAGGTGGCAGACTCCACAGGGAACAAAGGGCTTCAGTCCAGCGTGTTGGTACCACATGGGGAGGTGTGGTGAGACTCAGATGACTTCATGTCATACTTAACGACTTATGCTGTGGCTGAAAAGGGGCTCCAAATGCATTTCTCTTTGACCAGCATGATTAAAACTCTGCCATCTTCTGAGGATTCACTGGCTAAGTATTTCATTCATTCCATCAAGCAGTAATTTTTATTATGTACTACATAGAAGATGAAATATTGTGCTGGATACAAAGATTATATGATACTCTTTTTCCTTAAGGAGTTTATAAAACTACCTTACTCTTGACCATTCCTCTTCACACTGTCATCTGTCACATAATGCTTTAGGTACTACAGTGATAAATATGAAGTTACTGCTCAAGAAATGTTCCTCGTGAGTAAAGAGAAAATATCTTTTTAATACTGTGAATTTTATTTTGTCACAGGCAAAACAAGAAGTAATTTGATTTTTTTAGCCTGAGGCCTGGACTTCAATTTGAGTAACAAGTATGGAAAGAACTGAACCCAGAGCTTCAGTGAGGCAAAATCATTATTAAAGCATAAGGCAGATACAGAACTAAAGAAATGGAATTGAGCAAAGGATCTTAGAGATTGGAGAGGAAAATATGGTTTCAAGTTCAAACAACAGAATTTTGCAGAAAAGAAACAAGTGTTTCTTTTCTTTTCCCCAGGGAAAAGACAGAAGACTAGAAATTCCTACCATGGCAGTATAAGGAAACCACAGCAAAGTTATCTCCCACCAAACATCTGGAAATAGAAAAATAGAGGAGTTTTCTCAATTGTTAAACTATAGTATCAATGCAGAGTGGTGAGGTCAATGAAAAAGTTACCTTAGGAAAAGAGAATGGCTTACTGACCACAGCAAGATTTGGCTATAGCCTATGGATGGGACTGGCTTATCCTAAGAATGAATGTTTCCATTAGAAGGGGAGAGGGTTGGCCAGAAATGGAGCACAGAGAAGGAGAGCAACAGGGGCATGCACAGGCAGCACCCATCCAAGTGTGGCTCAGAGGAGAAGGCATGCTGGCTTAGCGACCTGTCCCAGTGGCAGGATATGTTTGTCAAGTCTCTACTATTCTTGGTGTTATGGTGGTTATGGTTCTCTGTCTAAGATATTCTGGCTTATACTTTGGTCTTGAGCTTGGTAAGGTGAGTCTATCTCTGAGAGGATATGGACAAAATCAACTTTCTGATCTTGTAAAGCTAAAGAATGAAGCCTGAAACATGGTACCTTTATGAAGGAAAGTTCCAGCCTTCCCTGCAGACACCCTATCAGTGTTCCTGAAGTTTTTTTCCTCAACTTCTTTTCTTGGGAGAGCCACAGAGGAGAACTTCTTTCTTTGAAAAAATCCTTATGTAATCTCCATAGAGGCTCTGTGCTTCAGATTTGAGTTCACAGTTTTGCAGGCTCAGAAGGGAGCCAGCAGCTTCTCAGGGCCAGTTACACTGTCCAAGCTAAAGACTAATGTGGAAACCATAACACACTAGAGGGAGAACTTCTTTTCCATTTTCTCTGTTACTGGTTCAGGCATTCCTTTCCTTATGTCTGGGTCACAGTAAGTAGCTTCTTAGTTGTCCTAACAACTCCATTCCTTCCCCTCCAGTACTTCTTAGGTACGACTACCAGTTAATTTTTCTAAAACATGGTTTCATCAGTTCCCTCCTTTGCTAAAGAGCACATACTGCCTTTCTTGGTCATTTCCTTGATTCCGCTCACTTACCCTGCACCCCTTGGTTCTACTCATTATTCCTTACATACCTCACCCTTCCCTTATTCTGTGATGGCTCCTGTGGTTCCTCCCCATCTCTACCTGTTGAGATCCTATATGCCCATTCCCCAACTCCTACCTCAGTAGTTAGCTTACAGCTGAAGCTTAGCAAATGCCTGCTGAGTTAAACAATTGCTCCTCTTCCTCAGCTCTCATTACTTTTTCCTGTAACTCTTCTGCTTCAACTAAATTAGTCTCCTTGCCACATGACTTCCTTCCTTCCTTAGTGCTTTTATTACTCTGTCAATCCATGGCTTGCTCCTCCCCCAGAACTCAACTCTGAACTGACTCTGTCCTGGAAGTTATCCTTAATTATATTCTTCCTTATTTGGGTTTAATCAGCACCTCTTGGGTATCTGTGGGCTCCATTTGGGCAATACTAATTACGCTTACTAATTTGTTTCTTCTGAGGGGTTTCCTTCTCTTTCTATGAGTTTATGAAAAGTGGTGGGATGTAATGTTAATTAACAGTAGGGGTTGAATTGTGACTTAAAAGTTGTTAGCTCTGGGGGTACCTGGGTGGCTCAGTCTGTTAAGCAGTGACTTTAGCTCAGGTCATGGTCTCGTGGCTTGAAAGTCCAAGCCCTGCGTTGGGCTCTGTGCTGGCAGCTCATAGCCTGGAGCCTGCTTTGGATTCTGTGTCACTCTGTCTCTCTGACCCTCCCCTGCTCACGGTCTCAATTAAATAAATAAATAAACATTGAAAATAAATACACATTGAAAAAAATTTTTAAATAAACATTGAAAAAAATTTTAAAAAGTTGTTAGCTATGTGACTCTGGACAAAGTACAACCTATTTCATAGTTATAGTGAGGCAGAAGAAGTGAGATGATTATGTGTGAATGGCACGCACAGGTCCAAGAAATGGCATTTTCTTCCTTCTCCCTCATCAACAAAATGATCTGCTCTTATAGGATAAGAATGTGCTTTCCTTTTTTTAAAACTTTTCCCCCATCACTTCGTTTGGTGACTGGTTTCTCCCTACCACTAACATAGGTAAGAACACCAGCACACAGAACTGTGTTACTCACAAATACAATGAAACATGCTGAACCTGGGGGATGGGGAAGAGATCGCTCACTTCTCAGATGTTGAAGAGCAGCTCCCACTTTGACTGGTGAGCCAGGCACTGGGCACTAAATGAGACGGGTCCCACAGACGGTATGAAATAGGAAGGTTATGGGAGTGAGTGAGGCTCTGGGTGTTTGGGCGGTTAAGAGAAGGGAGGGAGGACTGGTTCACTGCAGCTGGCTGCAGGCCGCATTCAGAGTCAGTGTTTGGACTTGCCCTGCCCTCCTGTGGCCACAAGTAGTAACAACCTTTGCTGAGCTTTTTGAAAGCTTTTCTGGAAGGACCACAATAATAGGAAAAACTAAGAAGGCCAAATGATTGAAAATAAGGTAATGCCTAAAGCAATTCTTCTCAGAATTCAAAATATATTTTTTTTAACATTTATTTATTTTGGAAGGAATGAGAGAGACAGAGCCTGAGTGGGGGAAGGGCAGAGAGAAGGAGACAAAGAATCCAAGCAGGCTCCAGGCTCTGAGCTGTCAGCACAGAGCCTGAGGCAGGGCTTGAACTCACGAGCTATAAGGTCATGATCTGAGCTGAAGTCGGACGCTTAACCGACTGGGCCACCCAGGCATCCCCAAAATATATTTCACTTATGGGCCTTAATAGCTCTATTTTCATTTT